GGTACTGGGGATTGAACCTAGGGGTGCTTAACCTCTGAGCCACATTCTCATGTCTTTTTTTCTTTTTTTTATAATTTATTTGGAGACTCACTACTAGTTTCTGAGTCTGGTTTTGAACTCACCATCCTTCTGCCTCAGCCTCTCAAGCCACTGAGATGACGACACTCCTGAGTTAGTTACTATGCTACTATTTTGAGCTACAAAAATGAACTTAGTTTTCTATCTGAATATGTGTACAATATATTTGGGATTAACAAAAATAGGAATTAGGAAAAAAAGGTGGAAATTATTGTATTCTGAACCTAAGTCTAAGGGAGGTTTTATACATACATAGCATAACTCYTGTATCTGTATATAGATATGGACCTCAATAGCCAGTGTTTTTCCCATATCACAGATGAAAACTATGAAGCAAGAGATGTTAAGTAATGGAACCAGTATTCAATCTAGGCAGCTTAGTTCTCACCTACTATTCATARGTAGTTGTTATAAATCAGCAAGCAGTAGACTCTAAGTGTTAGAGACAGGAGGCAGGAAGCATTGCCTGATCTAGGAGCTAGAGGTGACATCTAGCTCTGTGAATGAAGTTCACCTGATAACTGTATCCCAAAAGGTGCTGGCTGAGTACATATCATTCTATCAACACTACTGGGACAAAATATTAAATGACTTTAATATGTCAGTACCACAGCATTTTCTTTCATTTTAAACAAATTCATAAACTAAGTTGTGTATGATAATTAAGACAGTAAGACAAAAGAATAAGGCAAATCATAAGAGACCCCTTGCATTAACCTTAAATCACACATTTCTACACTTTTTGCAAAATTTTACATGGTAGTAAAGCACACAAATAATTTTCAATGTCTTATTTTTTACTGTTTCTTCCAGGTTTTTAATGTAGATATTTGATATTTCTATAACATTAATTAAATAATTTTATAATTTGCTAAAAAACAGAGTAAATTCTTAAATCCATCATTATACCATTTATGTCTGTATACATGCATATACATACATAAATATGCATATACGTATCTTCTCATTTTAAGACAGATTTATTTTATTTCTCATGAATTACTAATGGTTTCTTCAAGGTAATAGCAAAAACAATTGATTTCTCATACTAGGCTTCTTGGAAGCTCAGGATTGTCTCTTAATTATATTTCATCTCCCAAGCTTTTACATTAAAGGGCAGAAATTATTGAAACTAAGACAAGAAGTATGAGACTGGAGATACTGTACTCTAGGAACACTTGTGCTATTTAAGTAAATGCAATGAAAAGAGACATAGTAAAATCTTCATTTTTTCTCATTTGATTTATTGCCTTATGTACAGTTTTTCTAGCCGGAGGTGGCACTATGCCAGTGCACAATGATGCTTCCTTTATGACTTGTGGTCATGATGTCATTCTGAGTGGTCAGTTTTCTGCCATGCCAGTTGCTGAGCACTTTGAATAATACTTCTCTTATTTTTAGAAAATTGTACTTATTAAAGTCATAGATGATAGTTTTTTAGGGTTATGTTATAAATAAAGCAATAAAGAATTATTTATATTGCCTTTTAGTTTGAAAATAAATTATCCTTTAGGATAATAATATAGTAAAAAAGTTAAATGTATCCAAGAAAATCATTAACTTTCTCAAATCATATCATTAATTTCATTAGTTGTTGCAGATTTTATTCACTATATCAAATATCCATCATATAAATAAAGCATGTGATGGCACAACWAATAGAGTTTTCATATACCTCCTGTACACTGAATTCATCAGATGGATTTGAAGTATTTGGTAAAAAGTAATAGCAAAACTCCTATTGATGAACTATATTTAGAAAATATATACTGCTTTTAAATTAGCATATTGCATATATCAATTTAAGTAGTTGATAATTGGTAACAAGTAATTATTACTCATTTAGTTTATTAGTGTAAAAAATAARTAACTGACTTTGAACAATTTTCATAAGTTTAGAGTCCCAGACCGTTAAGGCAATATGTGTTATAATTATAATTTATAATCTTATTTGTCAGATTTTAATCAAAAAATATTTTTTCTCTTTATCCTCATAGTGTCCCAGTAAAACATTTGGTGGGTTTGACTCTACAAAGGACCTTCCTGATGATGTTATAACCTTTGCAAGAAGTCATCCAGCCATGTACAATCCAGTGTTTCCTATTAATAACCGTCCAATAATGATCAAGACAGATGTAAATTACCAGTTTACACAAATTGTAGTAGATCGAGTGGATGCAGAAGATGGCCAGTATGATGTCATGTTTATTGGAACAGGTAAAATTTTTTTACTTCAGCTATATATTTTCTTCTAAAACAATGTATTTAACTGGTTAAATATATAAAGAACTGAAGGCACCAACAATAAAAAAAAAAAAAGACCACAATGACACCATAAAAAAAAAAAAAAAGAACTGAAGGCAGATTTATTGACACTTTTAAGGTATAGTTCACCTCTAGTAAATGAATAAATCCTCAAGTGTTCTACCATTACAAAGACATTATCTTTTAAAATAAGTTGAGACATATTAATTTAAAAGAGATTTCCTTCTCAAAGAAAAGTTGATAAATGTAAAGCTAATGATTAGGTAAATAATCAATGTTCATAGTTGACTCATAACTCATTCCTGGTTAGTAGATTTTTAGAACAAAGATATATTTTCCAAACCGTGCCTGAAATTCCCAGGACATTCAGTAATGGCTCCAGAATATAATAATACAAAATTAACTGAGCTTTAAAATTACCTATACAGGGAAAAGCTTAGAGCAAAAATGCTAGTATCAAACTTTATTCATTATTTCTGCTATATAATGAGAAGAAAAAAAGAAAGAGAACTTCATAAGAAAACCCCAAAATTGATCCAGAACATCATCAAATATCTTACTACAGAAACTTAACAACAGCTTTTTACTAATTTCATTATCAGAGACAAAAAGTTTGCAGATATATTTTCAGAAATAATTCCATTATTGTTATGACATTATTTTATTTTCCACTACRCTTTTTATTAGTAATACTATTTTGAAAGTACCAGTTACAAATCTGAAACTTGCTACTTAGGGTCAGATTCCAAGGTAATAAATTTGTAGTCTCCATTAATGTTGTTAACTGACATAAATCAATGGAAAACAGAGTGAGTGCTCCACTGAAACCTTGTATAATAACATTTATTTTCCCTTGGTGAGAAATAGGGGGAAAAAATCACATTAACTACTCCTGCAGAATGGCAACTGTGCAATAATTGCTTTAAAGACTTAAAGTTTTATATGGAAATTATGAAATGCTGTGCTATAAGGTGTATCAAGGTCAGGTCCTGAGCAATATGTTAAAGTCTACTTTTATGGGTAAAGTAGTTTCTCTATCAAATAAAAAGAATTCCAATGAGATCCAGGCTTCCAAAAGAGTCAATGACTTGTCCATACCAATTTCAGGTTGTAAAAATCTTTAGAAAGCAGAAGATAATGGGATTTTTTTCAGCAAATATTAGTTTATCATTTAATGTCAAATTATAATTGAATCTCTCTGCAAAATAATTAAATTGACTCAATAATGTCACACTTGCCTTCTTCTTCACCTCCTCTGGCTTAAACTTTTGGGAAGTCCCTCACTCACTTTCAAAACAAGGAAGCTTCTGGGCATTTGACCAAAGAAAACCCAGTTGTAGGCTTTTAATTCCTCTTGGACACAAATTGTCTTTAAGGCACCAATTTAATGAGAAAGTTGAATGTCTGCTGATGTGGATGGTTATAGGTCAGTATAGTCCAGGGTCATCTGTCAGCAAAGTAAATTGATTACAGTAATTGTRTCTTTTAACTAAGTTGCACATCATCGTGTATTGATCCTTGTTGAGTAATCTGATTCAATTTGTGTGAAATTGTTTGAAATACTGCTCKGTAAAACTTGATCTGGATCACAGATAAAGTTGTATTTGGGTACTGGGGACCTGATCAGAGGCAGTGAGTAGATTAACCTGATTTCCCTTTAATCTTCAGTGTCGTGAGTCGTCCAAGGTCCTATAAACATAGAAGGATCCTCTTTAAAGAGTATTTTTTTTTTAACTTTGTAAGGGATAAACTAGCAGCCTTTCTTAATCATACATAATGCATTCCTGTTGGTCCTCTGAAAATGGTTATTAACAGCATAAATACATTTAATTGTTTTTCTGGTATAACATATTTTTATTGGTCATGTTTTCTTCATATATAGTCATTTAAACTTGATTAAAATGGACCATGTAAAGCTAAAAAGAATCAATCAAGTTTAGTCACAATTGAAATGTCCAAGAGTTGATTTTTTTTAAGTTAAGGATGACACTGTTGTAGATTTTATCAAGGAATAGAAATATAACCATATGTTGGAAAATCAATATCATCCTTAAACCAATTTCAAGTAAAAGTGCTGGCACTTGTCATTTAAACAACTTTTCTCTTTTGATAATGAAATAAAATAAATAAGGTATGAAATATCTACAAAATGTATACAATATAATTGCTTTTATTATTTATACTTCTGAATTTTAATTTTCTTTAAGTTCTAAAATGCATTAACTAATGTGTGCATTGTTGGAAAACTACTGTAATAAGAAAATCTTATTTATTTTTAAATGTTTTTTTATTAGTGCATTACAGTTATGCACAATATTAGGATTCATTTTGACATAATCATACATGGATAAGAGTTTATTTTGAGAATTTGTTGCTGCCATTCATAACTTCATGATCACTGGTCTCTCTTCAAGGGCCTCTGAGTACTGACAGTTCTCAGGTAACAGGAGGGACAGGCAGGACTCTGAGGATATCACTACCTCTGTTGCTTGACAGCATTCCTTACATCTTATATCTTCCTTCAGTCTTCATGGTAGTACCCACATTTCATAATAAATGTGGAAAAACCTGTCATGTCAAACTGGTAAAAAATTGTTTTTATTTTTTGAGACTCCTGACAATGTGATTGTTTTTTTTAAAAAAAAAAACTGAATTAATCCAACTGAATCAATTTCTGTAGTGATTTAATACATTTTTTAAAATCATGCAGTTCTGGGAAAAAACCTTCTTCAAAGATTAATATATTTCTAAAAAACTCAATTTTTTTTTATATTCCAAAGCTATCTTTATGGTTTATAGTCTATAATTTCATGATATACATTTGAATGTGTAATTTGCTAATGTTTCCCAAAAAGTAAAAGGGAGACTATGGTCATTTTTTTTTTCGAGAAGTTCTGATTGTCTCCATTAGTACTGAACTCTGCTCAAGTCTATTTAAATTATGATCTACTCCCTTCTTTTCTTTCTAAGATGTTGGGACCGTTCTTAAAGTAGTCTCAATTCCTAAGGAGACTTGGCATGATTTAGAAGAAGTTCTGCTGGAAGAAATGACAGTTTTTCSGGTGAGTGCTGCTTAATTTCAAGTGTCAACAAGTTCAGTTGTACTTCTTTCCCTCAGGACAGCTGCACACTGAACTTGGTAAGGACAACTAGTCTAGCATACTCTTCTAATTAGCTTGTCAATTAGAAAGCCAGACACTAGTCAAAATAAACCTTGAAACTTTCAGGGCTAGTTAAATCTAAAGAGGTAAAGAAATATATTCTTGGCTCATATTTTGTTTTCTCAATGATAAAATATATGATTTACATTTTATATTATTTATATAAGTTACCTCAATGAATAAACTCCTCCCCTTCTTAAAGTCTCTTCTTTCACACTTTGTGCTATAACAGTGATGATATGCAACTTGCGTGAACATAAGGAGAAATACATTCAAGATGACAGAGTCATGAAGTCATGAAGTCATTTTAATCACTTTTAGCTTATTCATGAATTGTTTTATCAGAATTTTATAAAGAAATTTGTTAACTAAAGGAAGTTTGATATTTTTATATCACTAGCAACAAATTTATTATAGATTTCTAGTTTAYATACTTAGGGAATGTATAGATATTTGTCTCTTTGTCCTGAGTCATAGAAGTCCAGGTAATTTTTTATAGGGTTGGGAAAATTAGGGTTGAAGCACAGGACTTGGGGTGAGGGAAAGAGGAAAACCAAGGTAGTACTGTATGTATGTTATATGTGCAGTTCTTTCTAGAAAGCTAGCTGATAGGAATAGTTTAAATCTAGTACACTTTGATAGAATTATTTATGACATATGAAAAACAGATTCCTATACAAGATGATATTTCAGTTTTTTGATAAAAGAATAGAAGACACACATATTAAGATATTTATAATTGCAAAGTAAACATGAAATGGAGGAAATTGGTGAACAGAAAAATGACAAAATATTGAACAATTCAACTGATCTCTTTAATTTCCAGGTGGCACAGATGATTTATCTATAAAATAAAGGTGCTGGTTTAAAATTTCCATTTGACTCAATATTTGATGGAAAGCAAAGTATTCCCAACACTCTCTTAGCCTGTTATTTTTTTTTTACTAGTGTACTCCCATCAACAGGCTTTTTCTTATCATTCAGTAAGATTTTGAAAAGAGAATGAAGTAAAACATGGCAAGTGTTTTATATGTTAAATCAGTTAAATATGTTAATCAGTTATAATTATCAGTTAAATTATTATTGAAACATATGCTTTGTAAATTGTGACATAAACATTTTTCAGTACTAGACTAACAATGTTCTAGTGGGAAAAGTTTAGGCCTCTCTGTCATATCTACATGACGATTCTATTGGGAACACTAAAACAATTCCACTGAGCTTTCCCATCAATAAACGAATGAGATCAACATGCACTTCATCAGGAGATTAGAATGAGAGACAGCATATTTAAAGTACCAAGGACAGTTACAGCACTGTGGATAAAATGCTATTGTTAATATTATTTTATTGTTTTCATTGAGCTAAACTGAAARTAAGTGACATTTCCAATAACCTTTTCTACTAATCCATCTAACCTTCAAAATAAAAAAAAAATCATCAAAATTTTGATTTTTAAAATCAAGTACTTTAATCTAACTTTTTATGTTAGGTATAAAGTGTTGACTTCTCATTTACCATGTCAGGTAAGTTACCTCAGTGAACAAAAACATTGATACTTTAGCCTATAAATTTTAAAAAACAAAATTACCCAAATGGATTGTGTTTCCACTGAAGAGTCCATTGAGATTTAGCAAATAAATTATGCACATTAAGAAGTGGATTTATAAACTGCCATTTTGTATTCATTGTTATTTCTCCAGAGCCTGAAATATATTTATAATCAATGTTTGTAAATGAAAGAATGAAGCTGTATTGATACGAAAATAAAGGTATAGGAGACACTAAAATATATTAAGCATTAAGCATTTTTAAATTATTTCTGGAATCCTTTACTTGTATTAGACAGTCATAGTTCCTTTTCCGATTCCCCTTTAGTTGTTGTATGTCCTTAAAATAGAGTTAATTTATCAATTCAACAGCAAAAAAATATTTATTGGTATCCATCCTGATTCTAGCACAATGCTAAACTGGGGGGTACAAAGATGAACACTATTAACATGGTCCCTGAGCTCATGCAGTTTACAGGCTTTTAAGTTTTATAACTYTTCATTTCAATGATTGACTTTTTAATCTACATTGTATTTTGGAGAATTGTCTCAAGTGATGTCATGACATTTAAAAATACTATTCTTTATTCCTATTACTTATTATTTTCTGGGATTATATGAATCAAAGCATGCATAATTTTGCAATGATACTGTATTTTGGCTAAATTTTGTTTCTCATATCTCTKGGATTTTAAGCTTATATTATCTATATTACCTATATTATTTTGAATATTAATAAAATTGTCAACTTAAAAAGATTCTAATTTCAAGTGAACTGTTCAAATGACCAAACAGAGATGAGATGTTCGAAGCCAACGATCTTGCAAATACAATTATTAAATAATTGATTATAATTTATTAGTATTTTCTTGTTTCCAGAGAAATCTACAATCATCTTTTTTTTTAAAGAGAGAGAGAGAGAGAGAGAGAGAGAGAGAGAGAAGAGAGAGAGAGAGAGAATTTTTTAATATTTATTTTTCAGTTTCCGGCTGACACAACATCTTCATTTTATTTTTATGTGGTGCTGAGGATCGAACCCAGTGGCCCGCGCATGCCAGGCAAGCGTGCTACCGCTTGAGCCATATCCCCAACCCTACAATCATCTTATATTTGTAATAACTGATAGATTATTTGTTTAGCAGATATCTTAAGAAAATTCTTTGTTTGTCTCTAATAATTGAACATAATTAGGTAATATTGTATTGCCATAGAAACAGTTGTTTAGCTGGGCTGGGGCTGTAGCTCAKCGGCAGAACGCTTGCTTAGCACTCTTGAGGCACTGGGTTTGACCCTTAGCACCACATAAAAATAAAACAAATAAAATAATGCCATTCTGTCCACCTACAACTACAAAACATAAAAATTTAAAAAAGAGAAAGATCTGTTTAGCTGTCCACAATTTTTTAAAGTCTGTTTGCAACCAGGAGCATGTCTCCTTCCATAGAAAATGTCCTAGTTTTCTTCCACATTCTCTGCTATGCATGTTGTCATTATTATTACTTTGGCACTCAAGTAGACAAAACATATTTGGGCAGAGTTTAGAGAAATATTTACTTTCAACATTCTATTCTATCAGGCAAAGTTCATACATATATTGTGGTCTAGCAATTGGAATATTTCAATGTCAAACTTTGTTTAATTTTGCAGTGCAGGAAAAAAAACACAACACATTAAAGGGATAGCCATGTACAGTGAAACAAGCGGARAAATTTCAGTTTGTATGTTTCATTTGAGTCTTGTGTCATTCCATTTAAAATGAAATATAGTAAAAGAAGGTTGATGTGAGCATTCTGATAGCATGACAAGATAAATAGACAAGGTACAGAGTGAGGGTCATGTTTATGCCTGATACACTTGGATTTACACACACACACACACACACACACACACACAAGCACATTTAATGTTAACCAACCAGTTAATTTTACCATATTACAGTTCCATGAAACCATGTTCATTATGTGTGCTTACTGGACTGAATAACCAAACCTCATACAAATTCTTGGAATAAAACCAGTACCGTGCCCACTGCCATCCTGAGACTGGTTTTAAGAAAACACCCCAACTAATCATAGAACATTCCAATGGTTTTTATTACATTCAAGATACCTTTATTCTGAGTGGAATCAAGTCCCATTCAGATTCTAGAAAGAAAAATAATCCTTGGTAATAAAAATTTCCATTTTAGAGTAAAAATTTGAACAAGTAACAAGAGGTGAAATAAAATTGGCATTTGTATAGGAGTCAAGAAATTACTGATTCACAATTAAGTATTTGAAATGGAATTAATGTAGTAAGACACCACCAAATTCTAAATATAATCTGCCATGATAAATATGAATTTAGATCATATTAACTACTCATTCTGAAAAAGCTAGTTAAAGTTAGCCTCAATTTCCTCTCATAATGAATATTCTGATTACAAAAACTTTTTWAAAAAATTTTTTATATTAAGCTTAATAGTAAATGTTAGCTATTGTGAACTAGTTATAGGTGTAAAATTCTTGAAATTGTCTTATCTGTACCTTATTTTTAAAAAAATRTTCAGAAGAATCAAAAGCCAAACATATGATGATTTTTACTTATTTTTAAGCGTGGGATATTCTTTCCAATTCAGACCAAGAGAGTCTTATTTTTGAGACAGTGAAGTGTCACATGGAATTGCAGAGCACATAGGACAATGGACTTTATTTATAGTCTTTTGACTGCAAAGGATTGCAAGGCGGTTACATCAATAACACATGCATTTTAAGCCCAATTTATGCAATATTCCATGAACAGCTGAGCAAACAAATGAAAGAGTTTAATTTTCATTCAAATGTAAAACATAATTGATGCTTTCCAAAACCTAGCCTATTAACTCATTCTAAAAGACTGTCCACGTGCTTAGCATCCAGTGAGCTATGTCAGAATCTCCTGGGATCAGCAGGTTGAAAAGCTTTGCAAGTGCAAAAGTTTAATAAGAATGAGATTAAAATATCTGGAAAAAATATGGTAAATTGTAGTCATAGAAAATCTTGAAATGATGCTAAGTTTTTAATTTCATTTTTACTTGAACACCAATTAAATTTGCAATTGAAACCAGTTTCATGAAAAAATGCTTATGAAGCTACATCTGTTTTAAATGGAAGTCATATTCACCAACAGCTATTTCTCAGAAAAAAAAATAGTTTATTTAAATGGATGTCATCTTAATGTATTGTCTATTAAAATTCAACCACAAGCAATATATAACACATATTATTCCAAATTGTAATTTATTTCCTGGTCTAAATAATAAATAATGTTCTATTAATTAAGGGATTCTAGGATCTTAATTTAAGAATGCTAAAACATAATATGGCACGAGTCTGGTGGGTGTTAGGGTTTGTTTCATGTTTTGCAATTTATATGTGAAATAATTCATTTTCATCTGCCTTATAGATGTTTGCCAATGAACATGAAACATATGAATATTAATCAGCTTCATTTTTTCAAAGAATTTAGACATAGCTAACTTTCACTTCAGTTACACTACTGTTAATTTTTCTCTGCCTAAGCATCATTTTCTTTGCACATTGACTTTCATTTCTTCCATGAAAACCTGCATGAAGTCAGTTGCTTATATAACCACAAAACTATTTTTCATGTGAAACTGTTGGAATAGAAGGAATTGCTATGCAAAGTTTTCCTAATTCTTCTAAATTTTCCATTTTGGTTCATTTATTCCAGTATGATACAAACTTAAATAATATCTTCAGCTTCATCTTTTAAATCAGAGTATTTGTGATGAATTTTCTCATACTTTTGTAATGTGATGCTACTGATTGCTAAAATCATATCTCCACATTGATAAAATTGGTAAGAATGATTGATAATTCCTAAGGAAAATTCTTATATTTAATAGTTACTATTATTCATTTAAGTCATGAAAATGGAAGCTTAACAGGAATCTCTAAATTATTCTATTAAATTAATGAATATTGTAAATCATTTGTCTCATTTGCATCTTAGGCAGTTTATCCTAAAATTGTTCAGAAAACTTTGTTCTCAGTTCAGTCATCAAGTTTGATGTGGAGATTTGTAATTCTATAGTACATGGAGGTACTTAGCACCACTACATTTAATGTACTTGAAGAAAGAAGGTTAACATCCAAGGGAGAGTAGAAAGGAGTGGAAAACAGAGGGCGAACACTTTAGAGATAGTTGCATGATGGGATGAAGACTGTGACAAGAGCTAATAGAAATAACCAATGAAGAATCCTAAGGCATATTGGAATTTAGTAGAAGTAGTAGTTGAGAAGAATTATCAATAGTGCCCATCAAATAGAGAATTCCAATAATAACATTGCAATCCTGAAAGTGTTCCTTCAACAATACAGGGTTCATTGGTGATTTCTGCTTCTGAGTATAGTAGACTGCCTCTCCAGAGGAGGAACAGATTTAGAAGGTTGATAGGTGCATGACCGAAGTACAAGTAAAGACAGCAAGAATATACTACTTAGATTATTTTTAAAGAAACTCAAGCTAAGGTAGAAGAATCAAGGAAAGACATTTTATAAGATGGCTACCTTTATTTTATTTGCATCCAAATGATAAGAATATAGGGGAGTAAGTTGAAGAAATAAGTAGGGGAAAAAGGGGGAAATTGATAGAGAATCCATTCATTCATTCAACAAGTTTTTATTGAAAACTGTAAATATTAGGTGTAATATTAGGGGTATGGTAGCTAATAAGCCAAAATCCCTGTCTCAAATTGAGGGTACAATTAACAAGTGATGGAAGATGGCTGCTGCCCTCCTCATGTCCTGTCAGCCTTGACTCTAATTCCTGCTGCGAGTCTTTCACTTTCTGCTGCAGAACTTTACTGACAGAATGCCAAAATGTAAGCAAGATTTATACGTGGGTACATAGGAGATTTTGCACCTCTGCAAGACTCCAATAAGTAATGAAATGAAAAATACTTTTCTTGGTACAAATCTCAATGGACAATTTTGTGACTCATCATCTACTACACTCAGATTTCCTCTCAGTGGTAATTTCTACAACAAAACACTTTATTGAYTTTTACATCTCCCTGTCAATCCTCAGCCCCACACTCTTGCTTTTACCTCAGACTTAGCTTTGGGATGGGATGAAATTGTGAGTTTTTCTAACCCACCCCAAAGCACAGTATGTGRTAAGCTCAAGAAGGAGGAATTGAGGATCCACAGGAAAATACACTCACACACATACGCATACATATATACAGATAGTGATAAGCATTAAGGAGAAAAGCAAGACAAGGAGGTAGTGGTGATGGTGGTGGTGGTGGGTGTGTGTGTTAGAGATAGAGAGAGAGAGACAGAGACAGAGATAAAAGAAGAGATTTGGTAAAAACCATTCATCAAATGAAATTATGAAGTCCTTTACATGTGTGAACTTATTAGTCTCTTCAAGAACCCTATGAGGAAAACACCACCATACTCATTTTTCAGAGGAGAAAACTGAATTATGAAGAATTTACATTCCTGGCCAACATCACACTTCTGGTCAGTCATGAGTCACAATTTGAGTCCATGCTGTTTGGTTTCAGTGTCCAACTCTATATATTTTCTTCTGGGATTAGCTTCAGTTACCTCACACAATGAGGCCTTTTAAGATCATCCTTTCCAACTAAGTATCTTTCTCATCAGTCACTTCTGAAACCCAGAAGCATGTTCCTCTTCCCATTGTGTTAGTCCTTGAAGCAGATATGATAGAAGGTATGCTCAATGAGAGTGAGTCTAGAAATACAAGGTTATATGTTCAACCKGAACATACAACCTTTTGGTGCTATGTGCATCAAGGAACAGGATTTGTTTGTACAAGTATATACATTCACAATAAATTCCAGTTAGAGCACTTAACAAGTGCATTGATAATTGTTAGTTTCCTTGTTATTACTTATGTTGTTCTTTGTTAGCCTGTTGATAGGCATTAAGGAGATTATATTCTGTGGCAAAGACCTGAAGTATAGGTCTTTGCACATTAAACAGACATTTTAATAATAATAAAGTCATGTCATTTCARCTGAGCTCTTGCAGTCCTTGACAGCTGGAACCCTGCCTGGTATTTATTGTTAGCTTTCATTGGTGCTGTTAGGAGCCAACCTAGCACATTCAGCCAAGCTATACTGTTCTCCAGTTGAACATAAAATTTTCACAGAAGACCACTGTCAGAAAGGGCCAATTTGAAGTGATGAATTAAGATAGAAGCAAGACCATTCTGTAATCATGACTGAACACAGACCAAGACATGAAATGAATATTATCTAAACCACAAAAAATAACCAAATATCCCTCATTTTGCCTAACACAAGTAAACCAGTAATAGCTTTAGCCTTGTTCTGTTCTCTCCTTCAAAATGACTTATGAGTATACCTAACCATAGAATTACCCCCACTTTTAGACAGTGACCAAAGTCAAGCAAAGCCCTATTTTTTAAAACCCTTCTCTAATCACCTAACACAAACCCATATAAAAAGTCCTTTCCATTTTCTTTCTTACTGCAAAGAGCAGTAAACCCAACTTGGTCAACTGCAGGTATGTTGCTCATGACCTTTAACTGAATTGAATGCTATTGACATAATTTTACTGTYTATTCCACATATTTGACATTTACCTATGTAGTTTCTTTCATGGGTCTTATTTCCCAATTATATTGCTCCTTGTGAGAACCAAAGTTATATCTCTGAAACCTTATGTATTGATGCCTTGTGTTGATTAATGACTGACTTTTCTAATTGACCATTTTAAATTTTTTCTTCTTTAGGAACCAACTACTATTTCAGCAATGGAGCTTTCCACTAAGCAGGTAAGTCATAATGTATTACCATCAACATTATATTTTGTTAAGTTTGTATTTAAAATGTATAGATTTCTCTATTGTCCATCAAATTTTATAGATTGATTAACAATTTTATAAGGAGCCAAGAGCAAAGAAATACTATTCCTAAAAATAATTTAGTAGAATGAAAATTAAAGGTTGTTTTCATTGTCCTTATGTTTTTGACCAGTCTCATCTGTCTTAAAATGTATTTCCTGAATCATTATTTGTTATAAATGTTGAAATATACCAATTCTTCATTGTYATTAAAATATAATTTACATAATATTCAGTAATGATTCTCATTTTTATGAATATATACATACTTTAAAAGTAATATGAGTAGWTATTTCAGAATAATGTTTACAACTTAATTTTATTTTGAAAATGCAAACAAAATGTACTTTATAGGCTAACAAAATTAAGCACTGGCTRTACATTTTTGGCAGATCTTTTCCTTTTTACTAGGATCGTGTGCTCAAGAAAATAAAATGTGACTTTAAATTTGGCTAAACAGAAAAATTTTCACTACCAAATGACAAATTCTAAAACTGCATGAATTCAAAGGTTAAGGGCAGCATGTTAATAGTGTTTCYATTCATATCAAATGAATGTTCTGGCAAGATACTTAAGAAAAGCAAAAGATTTCTAAATACTAAATGATATGAACAGCACAAGTATAGRTTTAACTTCTAATTATCTTTTCCTCATAAATGTTACCAGTGTTTAATACAGTACATGAATGATAAATTTACAAAAGGTTTGGATACTAAGTTGAAATTAATTATTAAATAAGTAAGCAGAAAAAGCCAGAGTGAAATAAGAAGCCCCTTACTATAGTAAAAACATGCATGAAAATGTAAATTATGAGAATCACTTGGTTAATATGAAATAAATACATAGAATATGATTTGCTCCAATTCAGCACACAGTACTTAGCCCAACTCATTCTCTGTTCCCTCCCCCGTTCTCTTTTCTCTAACAATAATTCTGCTATTTACTTACAATTTTTTTTTAAATTAATGTCTTCTGGAAATACATAATGGTGAGATTCATTGTACTATATTCAAATATGTACCGAAAAATTAGGKCAGATTCATTCCACTCTTTCTCCCTTATGTTCTCCCTACTCCTTCCCTTGGCTCATCTTATTTCTAAGTCTTTTACAGGTCTTGTCTATGACCATGCTTTATCCCTTGAATAAAACACTAAATTACTGAGCCAATGAAATTCAGTGTATGTCCTTTCCACATAGACATATCAAAATAGATTGATAATCTCCAAGGTATTTAAAACAACCCGGAGTGCAGATATTATTGACCTGATACTGTTATCTCACACTTCATAAGTATGTGTTCACCTGTTCTTGTAATCTAAAAATTGTCACATGTTGGCAAGGAAATCTGGGGATTTCCAGGATGGAAGCTAGACAGGGATCCTCTTTCCTGTAATGATTTTTAAAACTATTTTTTTATGGCAGTGAATCCTAACTGCATTACCTCAACATCTAGCTTTGTAAAATACTCCTTTCTGTTTTAAATTTGTTAAAACTATCTAAAAGAGTACAAACCAATGCAGTATTTTACCAACAAACCAAAAACTTCACAATTTAAAATATCATGAGAGAAGAAAGTGTCCCTGACATTCATTTTTCATTTCTGGAAGGAAGTTTGATTTCATTCATCCCTGACTTGATTTCATACATTCTTGCAGGCATTCTTAAAATAAGGCAGTTGTTTCAAGAGTGACAAGTAGTGTTATCACTAATTTTCTGGATAAACGGGCTCACGTCCTGCCTATGGCCCACAACTTGTTAAGGAGGATAGTGAAACGCCTGTGGAGATGTTAAATTGGGCAGAAAAAGCACATCAGTTTCCTTGCTAGTGACTGGATTGTGTTCAGTGAGGCCTGCAAGCCTCCCCTATATTTCATTTGGATAGCATAATTGTTTTAGTAGATCATTAATAATCCTGAATAATTATGACAAAATAAAAAATGACAGTTGCATTTAACTTTTGGCATTTAATCACACTTTAGATTTTCAACACAATAACTTCAGTGGTCACACGTACTATGTGTAAATATTCTACAATGTATTCTTCCCATTCATTATTTCTGTTTTTCTTYTAAAGGGATATGACATTTAGATGTTTTATTTAGATAATTATTTTCCTACTCAAATGTCATACATCTATATGTATTCATTTTGCTTATGTTTCTTAAAAGTTATTGGACAAACATAGAGATCTTTTGATTGTCTGACCAATTTGGTTAGTAGAATTTTAAAACAGTCATGATCACAATATGTGAATTAGCTTGTCTGTATTCACTGTTGCCAACCATGATTCTGTTGGACTTTGCTACAGCACTCTTAAGTAATTCCATTGTTTGTTTAAATATTCATTTATTTTTAAATCACATTTAAATTTCTTTGATTCCATTGACTCTAAATTCATTTTAAAAGGATAAGGAGGCTACTGGAAAAAGAAATAAAGGGTAAGAGGGTAAAGATACTATTTGCCATTTCCTCCCAGGGATTTCACCATCATTTCTTAATTTGTCCTGGGTTTTAGTATCATTCAATATAATACTAAAATTGAATGTAAGAATAAAGTTGAATTATAGTATAAAGTTGAGCAGATAGTAATACATATGATATTTTTATGTTTTCTGTTTAGTGGAATCAAATAGCAATATTTACCAGAATAAATGCTTCCACAGTTGTGTCAGCATTTCATAGTCAGCATTTCATCACTGTGGCAGAATACCTGAGAAAAGACACTAACAGGAGCAGATATTTATTTCCTCAGCTTCAGAGGTTTCAGTCCATAGTACCTGATTCCCATCACTGTGGTGACGCAGAGAGAGTGGGAACAGAGCTGTTTACCTCATGACAACCAGGAAGTTCCCCTCCCACACCCACAAACACACAGTGTAGGAGTCATGGGGAGAAGGGACCAGGACCAAGATATACCCCGCCTGAGCATGACCCCAGTGACCTCCCCAACCAGGCCCCACCTCCTATAGTTTCTGCCACTTCTAATAATGCTGTCAATTTATGAATCCATCAGAGGATTAAGCTGCTTATGAGGTCAGAGCCCTCTTGACCTAATTACCTTCCCAAAGCCCTCCCTCTGAACATGCTACATTGGGCACCCAACCTTCCAACATATGAGGCTTTGGGGGACATTCCAGATCCAAACCATAACTGTTGAATTGTATTACTTTTTCCCTCTTATTTTCCTTTCTTATCTCAAGATATAAGTATGTTGTTTAGATTTTAGCACTGAATTATTTTCTACATAAACATTCCTTATAACTTTACTGATTTCTTAAATTATAATAGTACTTCACTCTGCATTCAATTTATCTGTTTATTTATATATATTGTCCATAAATGAAAGTCTTTGGAAATACAGTTTTAATTGTGTCCATTTATGACTATTAGATACTTTCTAATGTTAAAAGAGAACACCATTGTTCAAAGTGTGACTTTTCTGAATCTTATTGTTCATCTCCATACTGGAGAAATTAAGATAAAATTTTGAAGTCTTTCGCCTGTGATTTATTACATGTTTTAGCAATTAGATAACTTTTATTTAAGGTTTGCTACAATCAATCAATCCTCTAGTGCAAGGAAAAAAGAGCTATGGTACTAATTAAAGTACATGTTGGATAAATCACAAAATAATTTTATTTTTGTTTCATTTTGTGTTTATATAAGTTTGCAGCTGATATGTTACATTCACTCAACTTTTTTCAAGGCATTTTTAAAGTTGTTCTGAAATCTTGAAATAGTAGCTGCTAGAATTTTGGAGTTTTTTACTTGTCCCTATTCTGCCTCATTCAATAAATCCATTTTCATTGAAGGTGATAGTGTTGTGAAATGTCATCTGGATGCTCACTTTAAATATCTGTGAAACATGCTTATTTTACAGATAAGGAAGGTAATTCCTACAAAAATTATGTGAATGTTCCATGATCACACAGAGTTAACAAGGCTAGACTGAGCACCGGAGMTCTTCAATGCCCAATTCAGTGCTTTTAGTTTGGTAGATTGCATCAGAGTTCACTCTCTTCTCCTTTGATGATCTTTTGAATGGAAAGTGATTTAGTAGTGCTGCTTAAAACAATCTTCTTGGAGGCARTGCAAAAGCAAGACAATTGAGTCCAAAGTTCTTTTCAAATATAAATACCTAAACATCTCCCTTTCCCTCTCATAGGAGGAAATGGTGCATCACAGGTGATGTAATAGGGCACCCAGGAGTCAGAATCAGATGTCTGCCTCCAGCTCATCTGGAGCACATAGCCAAAGAGTTACTTTGGTCAAACAAAAGTATAAACTGTAAGGGAAAAGAAAAAAAAATGTTAAGGATAAAAACTCAATGTTTGAACATCATTTTGCTTGGTGTACAGATAACTTTATCTTTCTTTTATATTTAGAAAAACACCTGTTTCAATCAAATACTTAAAATTAGCTCTTGCTTCATTTTAAACTCTCCTGTTATCTGCTAAGCCTTCAAAGAAACTATTAACAATGTGTTTTGTTTTTATACCTACAGATATCATTTATTGTTGTTAAGTGTTGATGATGTCAATAAATAAACTTTCTATTAAGAAAAAGGAGGTTTGAAAATCAAAGTAGTTTTGGTAAACTCTTTTCACAGCAACAGCTATATGTTGGTTCCACTGCTGGGGTGGCCCAACTCCCTCTGCACCGATGTGATATTTATGGGAAAGCTTGTGCGGAGTGCTGCCTGGCTCGAGACCCRTACTGTGCCTGGGATGGTTCCTCATGCTCTCGCTATTTTCCTACTGCAAAGAGGTAGGAATGAAAAAATAAAATGTTTGCTAGTTTCCTTGTTTGATTCCATTTCTAGAAGAGCTTTCTTAAAATAAGAATACCACCCTCTTCTGATGAATAAAAGAGGTTTGGGCTGGAACTGGGTTTGCTTCTTTCCATTTTTTTTTTTTTAATTTTTTTCCCTTTCCTTAAAATAGTGAAAACATCCAGAAAAAATGTGTAGTAGGAAAGTTGGGTACTAAATGCAATGGAACAACTGGCTTTTTTAAATGACTGGGGAAAGTTTAAGACAGTACAATACTTTTCCTAAATTTTTTACAGTTGGAAATTATAATTTTGCAATTTTATTTTACACAGTGGGAAATTTAGGGTCAAAGTCACAGAAAGTTATGAACAGGATCTAGAACAGGCCTTGTGTCTTTGAGCAAGARGCTTTTTTGTTCAACAAAATTTATTTCTTTTATTCTCCTTAGAAACATTCTATTCTGTTTTTACATTTTAAAAAGAGAAGTTATTTCCCTGGATGGACAGAAAATTCTTACAGAAAGAAATTCATTTACCTTTGGAGTCTTAGGGAGAACACCAGGACTCAATCATTAAAAAATCAAGGCTAATTTTTTTCTAATAATAGAAAAAGTCATATTTGTATGTGGTGTGGTATAAGTGTTGATTAACTAGCATCCAGCATATCTCTTTATTTAACTCAAGGAAATCTAAATGCCTCTGTATTATTATTGTATCATGTTGTATTTACAGAGTTAAAACTTTAAATATAAAACTATAATAAAACAACCATCTATCTGTCTGTATATATGTATATATATTATAAATATAGTATATATATTATACTATATAGTATATATATATTATAAATTATATATATTCTTAATGATACTTGGAAGTATTTGAGGGGGGCATGCTTGAACTTGAATTTTACTAAGATATACTTAGAGAGTTATCTACAATACTACATTAAGATGATACATAACTGTGAGTTATTGCATACAAGATTGAATGCATTAGGAACAGACATTGGATCTTTAAAGACAGTTTTATTTCCAGGAAATGTGATTTTACTACAGAGAACTCATAGACAAATCCWAGAAGTTGTTGACAAATTGGTTTACTTATACTTTAAAAAATAAAAACACTTTCTTCATTTGACAAAAAGCCACTTCAGTACATCCTCTGCAATTCACTGATGRTTACCTTTCTCTATTGATATCTACTGCTTATGAAACAAGCAATGATAGATGAAAGTAATATACAGCAGCTTGTTAATATGGCCCTAATGATTGATGGCACATCAACCTTTTGAAACATGAAACWGCAACCAGTGTCACCAAGTTACTGCATTTTAGAAGCAATATAATTTGTTTTGTTTATTTTTAAATTATAGCTAAAGTTTCAAATAAGCTATGAACATGATTTTTTTCCATGGGTAGTGAGATAAGTTCTGCAACCTTTGAGTCATTTTAAATGTGTGGGAAAAATGTTAGGAAAAGGAAAAGGCCCCCATGTTGCATAAAATTTTTTATTCCAAATTTAGGTAGCATTGACTGAGTGTTAAATCATCTACAACCTAAATCTTTCATATAATTGTATGGATTAGAACACAGTATCATGTTAACCCTATAAGAAAATATAGTAATAACTCAGAATGGATTAAAAAATGCAAATATCTTAAGCCTTCAATATTCAAAATTGAGTTGATGATATATTTGTATTACATTAGTATCTATATTGATTTTGTTGGAATTTTAAATTTAAAAAAGGCTTAGAGTAAAAATAATATACACTGATAGAATGTACCAAGGGTAGTTAAAATAAATAACAACATGCTGTCTTTACAGTAATAATAATAAATTATTTAAAATTAGAATGATTTTTTTTCTTAAAAAACATTTAGCTCTAGGAGACTTTTATGTTAAAAAATGTTTGATTTATGTTTGAACTGCAAATGAATATTGYTTCCTTTCCAAGTGAATGTGAATAATGTTGCTTAATTTAGTAATAATCCATTTGAATTTTAAGCTTTTCTTAATAAGGAAGGGGAAAAAAAGAAAACCATAACCACTTCTATACTAAGTTAAAACCTGTGCATTATATATTTGGAAGTGTTTATTTTATACTTACACTTCAGGATCCAAGGAATTCTTATTAACACTATTTTGTTATGCCTTACAGATTTTACTTAATCCAATTTCATGGGTCTGACACTACATGTCTTTGAAAAGGATGTTTAGAGGCCTTACAACTTATATATTCTTTGTGATGGCATTTTTCAAAAAGTTAAATGGCAGTGAAAAATGCCTTCCCAAATGCTTTTTGATTCATATTTCACAAGTTCTCTTGGCTCAATTTTGAAATGTGCAACATCTGTTTGATAGTCTCACTAATTCTACAAATAGAAATCTATAAATACTTTAGACTTCTAAATTTATGAATACAGTAACAAATTCCATATTTGCAATTCTCAATGGCCTTTGTGAAAGCTTTTTTCAGGGATGATAACTAATTTGCAGCCAGACAATACCCGTTAAAATAGCTGCAGAAAATAGTCAAGTGTGCCCAATCTTTTCAGTCTGTTCCCCACCACTGTTCTCCATACTTAGTCTGTTCTTCAAACTTCCCATCTTTCTCTGCAGTAATAGCTTAAGGCCCCTCCTTCTTTCCACCCACTAGCGAAGTATAGAGAAAGGATGCCAAGACTGTTTGGAACCTGAAATGCAATTTGAGCCATAGAGTATAAAAAATTAATTTTGATGTTTAAAAACAAATTTGGTTTTTCCCTTAGAAATTAGTTCACCTCTCCTTTCTCACTTACTCTGGCAAAAGGAGGTCTTGCCCTTAAGTTCTACATTTATTTTTGCCTTTTTCATTTTATTCACATTGCTGGTCAATTGGTTTGCAATCATAACCATAAGATAATTAAATAAACCATTTTTTAAATGTGAACAAAATAACCTAAAAAAACTAACTTCAAAAATAATTCCTAGGCTTAATAAAATTTCAAAGACGTCTATTTAAGCAACTTTGTATAAGCATTAAGAAAAAGATACCATTCAGGGGAATTTTAATTTTCAACCTCACTCCCACATTAATGATCAGAGTTTCATTCTGTTTCCTGAAATAATGGGTTGCGATTCCAAATTTTGTGGAATATTCCCCCCTTCGATTTTTTAGATATTTGACTGTTATTAATACCTGTTATCAAAGAGCCATAAATTCTTTGTTGTAGATAGTTCAAAAGGTACCTAATACCATGTTGGTAYATTTGTCTACTTGTTCCCACTTTGAAGTTTCTGGTCTTGGAGACTTCTCTTTTTAGGTATACTGAACTGCTTTTTAAAAATTTTGTTTGGAAGTAAATACATCTCTTCTTATAAGTTCCTGGAGTGTTTTATTCGGATTTTGTTTCTTCTTCATTCTTATGACAAATTCCTAAGAGGGTAAAGTAGATATACAATAATACATTTTAAATGTAATTGTTCTAGACGCACAAGACGACAAGATATAAGAAATGGAGACCCACTGACTCACTGTTCAGACTTACAACACCATGGTAAGTCATCTTTTTTAACTTTAAACCTGCAAATATCAGGCTAGATCATGTGATAATACATATCCACACACACCCATGCAGGGTACACATGTCTTCCAAGGGAAATAAAATCTAGCAGAAAGAAAATATTGAAGAACACAAGCATTAAACTATATTTTACAATCACAGTCATGATAAACTCAATTTTTTAGACCCTTATGAGATTCAAAGCTTAGCTTTCTTATACTAACAAAAAGAAGCCAATTTAAGTTTGTACTTTGATGTAGAGAAGCAACCTGAGAATAGGACAACAAAAAGATTCATTAAAGTATATTGAAGAAGGAAATATAGTGTTAAAATAAGCAATGCACATTACTCATTTATATGCTGGTGATATAGACACAATGTATTCTTGAYTGTTCTACTCAAGTAAACTTCAACACTGAATTAATATTTGGCTGTTACCTTGAACTGGGCATTTTGGACCAAATTCATTTTAGACTTCCTAAAAGATGCCAAGACCTATTTAATGTCAAAGTTTTCTTTTTAATGTTAAAACATCAACCATTCTTGTAAATATCTAACTTATTCACCCCAACTCAACCATTTATGAAAATAATAATGAAGTTATGCTTCCCTCTGCTGGGGAAACCTGTCAATGACATCACTATAACAATTCATTGTAAAAAATAGTTAACTTGCAAAATGTGATCCTAACTGAACATAATAAACTATTTTGGTGCCTTTTGCATTAATCTCATTAGCTCTTATTTGACTTACTAATGGTGTGTAGAATAGTCATGTTTAATGAATGTTAAAAAAGAAAAAACTGTCATACATTGCACCTAGCCTTCCTTCCAAAATCTGAATTCCAGGTATCCCTCTGGCACAGTTTGAATGTGCTGGTGTACAATTCCACATAGGGTTATTTGGGAGATGACAATATCCAAGCAGGGTGACCACTAATGGAGCCAATATTTAGGACCCATTTTTATTTAAAACCTTTATTGCCAAGGACTTTCCTATTATTGTCCTCATTATAAACAAGAAAGAGGCCACTAAATGAAGTAAATATTATGAATGTCCCTGCATGAGTATTATGGTTTATTGACACACCTCCACGAGTTTTTTCAAATGACATATATCAATTGGACAACATAATATTCACTGATCYTCCATGTGAAAATATTGAATTATGATCAACATCATTCAATTGATAAAAAAATATAAAATATTAATTTATTAGAGTAAATAATCTATTTGATTAKATTTGGAGAGTTAGTTATAGTAATTGGAACTAAAAGAAACAAAAGAATAAAATTAGAAWTCATTTCCAATCAGACTTTAATCTCCATATCAATACAAACTTTGTTATTATGCTCTTGATCATACCTGTAATACTACCCCAGAGATAGCATCATGGTTATTGTAAGTATTCTGTAAATATAGTTTAGATGAATAAGTTTTCTTAAGTCTTCAAGCTAAAATAAGCTCCTTACTATTATTGTTTTCCAGTAAGAGATTTGAACTAAGCAGCATCTAGTATTTATAYTGAAAAATGTTCTGAGTCATACATTATTATCTCCAACACCATCATATTAAGAAATAAAATCTTTTAAGAACCATCATAAGATCCAATTAATAAATAATGATTATATACCATAATGTTCAGAGCACTGTGCTRTTTCAAAAATTGTTAGAAATTATATGTATACATAGTCTTACTGATACATCCTTATGTTTATCAGTACAATATCTTTATTAGGCCAATTAGTATTTTAAAATACTATTTATATTGGAGTTATGAGTGTCTGTTATATATAAGAGGAAAAACCGACCAAAGCGATTTTGTTTTTAAAAAGTGAGACCGTGGATAAAAAATAATGTTAATCATTGAATGGGATTTTGAGAGTATTTCAGATTTTAAAGATTTTGTGTGTGTGTGTGTGTGTGTGAAATTAGAATGGGCAGAGTCTAAGTGAAAAAAAGTACATATATAGCAAGTAAGGAAAATATGAATGAATTTTCTCCTAGTTCTTCAGTCAAAATAAACACTATCCGAGAAAAAAAAGGAATTTCTGTAGTTAATGTTACAGGATCGTTTTTCTTTTCTTTTTTGTGGTAAACAACCCTACTTGGATATTTGTKATATGTGGGGGGAAAGGATAAAATAGCCCTAGAAACTTTGCAGCGATAAAACATTCCTTTATGAAGGCCTCTTTATTCTTTTTATTTCTTGTCAGCTAACGTTGCTAATTGAGCAAAAATAAAACATATGCACAATAGATTGCAGTGGATTTCAAATGTTTGGAAACTAAGTCAGGCCTTCCCACTTGGCTAGGCTGTCTTACTATTGGGAATCAGTGAATTACCTTGGAAGAGTTGATGTCAATATTTGAGAGTAAAATGGGCAAAATTCCAGAGCCCAACCCTGTTAAATCATGCATGTTGTCTTGCTAATGTCACTTCTCACATTCAATAAAATATATGTGCTCATATGGAAACATATAAAGATATGAGATGTTTTCACAGAAAGCTGCTAAGCAACATGAAGCCAAATTACACACTTCAGTGTGATCATTTCCAGCTGTAATGGTAAACATTCTGTAACACTCTATATTTTACATATCCCGAGGTTCTTAATAGAAAAAATGTACATAAAATAACTCAGAATTAAGGTGAAAGAAATTTCACTTTAGATGAAACCTGTAACACTCATTTGGCACTCTACTCCCTTTCACACAAAGCAGCAGTCGTGGTGAACATGCCCTAATGAAATAGAAAAACATCCAGCTCCACTTCCCTTGAATCCTAGCACACACTTCTCCATCACTTCTAACTGCTCACCCAGAAAGCTCTTAATATCAAACCCTAAAAATACATGTGTRCTGGCAGATCTTGTCTTCCCAGTCACACCTTAAACAGGATGCTTGAGAGAAGTCTCAGGTTGTTTCCAGTCTGTTCCCTTCCCTGAAATAATTGCTATGCACAGAGTTGGAGCTTGTCCAACTTTACATTCAAGAAAATGACTGGCCAAGTCAATTTACCTCTAAACTCTCTCCCATTCCTCCTTCCTTACAAATCCAAAATGAGCCTTACTATGATTTATGTGTCCAGAAAGGAAAAAGATATACCATAAGTCCCAGTACTTTTTTWAAAATCATAACATCATCTTTGATTTCTGGATCTTTGAAATATTTTATGCCCTATCTTATAGTTTAATGCCATCATTGAATTTCACTCCCTAATAGTTTTCTTGGCTGTTCTGCATATATACATTTCCTTTTTAGCATCTCACAGTAAAATATCCACAGAATTTAATCTTCTAAATTATCTCCATAGCTAGCCCATCTCAATTTATGTCTTGGTTGGCATCAAAATCATTTCCAAATTTCATAAAGTATCTTTGGCAATGCCATCTTTATGGTCTATGGAGCCATAAATTTAGTAGTTTGCAGCAGTGCTATTATGGTCTGTTCCTTAGCTTCTTCCAACTCTGAATCTGAGCACTTAGCCCAAAGAGGAGCCTTAAGATTTGATAGATGAGCTGATGTCAGCATTAAGAAATCCCCAACTTTAATAAATAACCAAATTTCATCAAGACTAAGATGACAATGAATGTAAAATGCAGCACTATTTATGTGCTGCTAAGAAAGAAAAACTACCCMAAATGTGTAACCTACTAAAGGATTCCAGCATGGAACAGGGACACAGARTGACTGAGAAATAGTTTAAATGAGAAATAAACTCCATGCAGATGAAGATAGCAAGGAAAGTGGCCTGCTTCCCCCATAATCATGACTGTGGGAAAAGAGGCAAAAGCACTCCTTGAACCTCAAGGTGGTACTAATGAAGGTTTATTTTCTGAATTCACATAGGCAGGGTAGACCCAAAACCTCAGGTAGAAGCTTTAATTTAAAAAGCCATAAGGTTTGTGGGGTCTCACATGTCTGGAAGATGTCAGAAAGAATTCTTCCTGGAGGAAARCTACTTTAACCCAGATGAAGAACAATTGTGAGACACAGTCTGTTATTAGAGATGTTAAAATGTAAATGAGTATGCATCCTAGAATCAAATCATTATAGTATTCTAAGATTTTTATAAACCCCTTTGAAACTATGTCACTGCTGAAAACCGGTAATAGTTGTCTTCTGATGTCACCTTGCACAAACAATTCAATCATGCACATAAAATGTGTGCAAATTACATGAAACAGGAAAGAAGAGGTCTGAATTACCTGTTATCTTTGTTCCTTATTAAACTCTCTGAGCATGTCAGGAAAGATTAATTGTAATACAACTAAAGTTTAGCTGTTATAAACAAGGGGTTTGTAAGCTTGATGCATTTTTCTTTAATTCCAAAAGTTATAAAGATGACATATAATTAAAATACAATATGGTATTTTCATTATTGTTATGGAAGATTTCTGCTTCAGACAAAGGGCGTWTTCTATCTCTTATGGTATCTCTTGGGAAAAGTAAGTGAAACATTAAATTTCATGTTTCCTGATTTTTTAAAGTAAATGCTTTATGGTAATTTTGCTCTGGCATGTAGATTATTTGTGCTTTCTCTGGGAATGCATTTGCTATAAAATCATGAAAATAAAACATACCAGATGTTCCATGTAGACTAAACAAATATTATAGTAGGTATCTTCATATTGGTATTACTTTTTAAGTAATCAAGTTTCATCTTGTTCTATACTAAGAAGCGTCTCAATCTATGCCATCAAAAGTTATCAGGTACAGTGAGGAACTATTAAAATGGCTTCATATTTTACTTCATAATGTATCAATTTCATTATCATATTTTTAAAATAATAATCTTCAAAAAGAACATACTATTGACTCTCCTGATTAAAATAATTACCTATGTACAAAAGTTAAAATTTTCTCTCTGCTTATCCATCTGCCAATCTATATTCATACTAGCACATTTTAAGAACAAATCTACAGCAATCCAGGGAATCCAGGTAGATGGGAAACTACCCATCTAAATGATAGAATGGTTGAAAATTACTA